CGCGTGCTGTGGTCCCGCCAGGTGCTCGCACCTGCTGCTGGTGCCAGCCCTGCTTACAGCCGCTGCCAGAGCTGCCGCTCGCACCTGCTGCTGGCGCCCAGTGCCAGCTCCAGTCGCTCGGCGCTATCAATGGGTGTGAGCAGCGGCTACTGGCCCCGATCGCCCCTCAGGGCTTCTCCACCTCCCCCTGCTCCTGAGGGGCGATCGGGGCCGGCAGCTGCCTCTTGCACCCGTTGCTGGCAATGGCCCTGCTTGCACTCGCAGCTGGCGCTGGAGCCGCCACTCTCACTTGCTGCTTCTCAATTGCTCCTGAGTTCTTCTCCACGTCCCCCTGCTCCTGAGGGGTGATAGAGGCAGCAGCCGCTGCTGGCACCTGCTGACCGCCCCAGTCGCTTTGCACTGTCAGCAGGTGTGAGCAGGACCAGCACCGTCAGCATGTGGGAGTGGTGGCAGCGAGAGCAGGGCTGCCCGCAGACGGGACCGGGTGCCGCGGCAGGAGGGGCTGTGCAGGGGCATGGAGGATGGGCTAAGACCCACCCCTATGCCCACCGCAGCCTCGCGGCCCACAGTTCCTTTCAAGATGTATGAATTCATGCACTGCGTCTACGGCCATTCCACCCTGAATGCGCCCGATCTCGTCTGAATTCATGCACTGGGCCCCTAGTATAGTCAATAATATTGAAGTAAATATATAGGGGGCCAGGTGGGTACCTGAATTATTTGGAGGATCACCTCATCCTATATAATAAAAGACTAATATGCAAATTGTCCCCTCGACCGGGAGTTTGACCAGTGGGTGTGGCTGGCCAACTGCTCGTGGCCCCTCCCCCAGTGGCCCTGCCCCTGATAGCCCCCCCCACCCTGATGGGGGGGCAGGCCGACCAACGGCCTGCAGCCCCTCCCTCCAGCCATCCAGCTTGATCAGCCCGATCGGGGCAGGCCAGCGGACCCCACCTGTGCACGAATTTGTGCACCAGGCCTCTAGTAAGTTATGTAATTGTCTAACCACTATTCTGTACACTTAAAACGAATATAGAAAAATATTGAATGTAAACAGTATTTGAAAAATAAAATCTAAAAGAAAAATGTAGGTAGCTCATCCCTGGCTAAACCCCTGATCCTGTCCCCAAGGCCCCCTATTCTCTGACTCTCCAGTGAGTTGACAGCACCCTTGCCTTGCTCACTTCTTTCTGATAACACTTCTAGAGCCAAAGCAGCCCCTCCGAGTCTCTCTACTGTAAGCCCTTCCTTGTTTCACTGTCCCCAGCTTTAATAAACGTACTCAAAATAACCCGCATTTTGTATTGTGAAACCTTTCCTGCATGAAATCAAGAACCCATGAACCTACATGCTTCAGCCTGAGCCACACCTGCTCCTGGCACAGTCCCCTTAGGTAACATTCTCTGGTAATCCAGATATTTATTTCCTAAGCCTACACAGTCCAGCTGGCTCACTTCTACTACCTCTGTAACTTTCAGCTTCGTGGGTTACAAGTGGTGCCATTTTGTCATTAACATCACCGGTAACATATGGTGGTGCGACTCAGATCACCTTATCACCCTTCTCCGACACATAAAGCCAGTTTCCAATTGTGGTTTTATCAACCAGGACTGACTGGAATGTCGTGATGGAGAGAGTCATGCCGGGACTCTGGATGTCACCAGACAGCTTTAAGGATTTAAGATTGAGTTTGAATCTGATCAGAGCCCCTTGGAGAAATGCCTGGTACCTTGCTTATTCACATGGTCATGGCACTCTTTCCAGGTCCCAGTTTGGGAGCCCACCTGCATCACCACCTCCTGAAAAGAGACTCGGCAATTGAACTGAATGGACTTATTTTCAGGACAACATAATCGAGTCAGTGAAATATGAAGCAATCTACCAACTTTGCTTCTGGAATGACACAACAATGCCATGTCAAGATGATGATGCTTTAGGGATTCCAGCCTTTCCTACTTTGGAAGAATCAGCTAACAGCCTCTCTGTTCCAGTCTAGGATCCCACTCCCTTGCCCCTTAGCTCAGGCCGAGAGACTTCCATCCCCTACACAGGCAGGGACCACAGCCCTTGTCAGCAGGAAGCAGTTAATGGATACACACTGTCCTCCCTTATCACCCCTAAAAGATTTCAGGATGGAAGTCTCTCAGGGGGGAATGAGACAGACTAGCAGCCAGGCCAAGTGGAATAAGGAAACTGAGACGTGTCGTTAAATGGACAAGAAGTTTACAGCCATCTAGTAAATTGCAAAGTCCTATTTTCTGTAACCAAGGACTCTTAAGAGAAATGGTTCACACTTCTCCCCAGTCAGAGGGTAAAAAGCTTAAAATCACCTTACTCATGAAGATAGGTAGCAGAAACCCAATTAGTATCATTTGTGCAGATGAAGTTAAGGGAATAAATCTCATTTTGGCACATCAGCATAAGGTGATGAATATTCTGTTGAGATTCTCCCCTAAGACCTTCCCTAACTCCCCAGCCTTTACAACCTTTAAGACAAAGGACCCAGCATGCTTTTCTTCCCAGGAGCACATCTGTGCCTTTCCCTTCTCCCTTTTATTCCCCCATAGGCATGCATCTCTTAAACTCTAAGGGGCCCTACGAGATTTGCAACCAGGGGAACAATGGGTAGTGGTAGCTTGTCCAAGGCCAAACCCCTGAACATGCCCACAAGACCCCCTTTTCTCTCACTGCCCAGTGTGCTGGCAGCAGCTTTGCCTTGCTCACTTTTCCCCCATAACGTTTCTGAAGAGCCAGAGCAGCCCGCCTAGTCTCTCTCCTGTTGCCCTTCCTTGTTTTTCACTGGCCCCAGCTTTAATAAATGTACTCTCAAAGTGAAAATAAAGATGTAATATAAGTTATCTTTCTGGTGATTAGTATTAGTATCAACATTCTGATTGTAATGATATATAGTTGTTTTTTTTTAATATATTTTATTGATTTTTTACAGAGAGTAAGGGAAAGGGATAGAGAGTTAGAAACATCGATGAGAGAGAACATCGATCAGCTGCCTCCTGCACACTCCCTACTGGGGATGTGCCCGCAACAAGGTACATGCCCTTGACCAGAATCGAACCCGGAATCTTCAGTCTGCAGGCCGACGCTCTATCCACTGAGCCAAACCAGTCAGGGCAATATATAGTTTTGTAAAATGTTATCAATTAAGGAACTGCGGAAGGAATACAAGAGTTTTCTTTATTATCCTCCTACATAATAAAAGGCTAATATGTAAATTGTCCCCATGGGCGGGAGTTCAACTGACCGGGAGTTAGACGTGTGCTGACCACCAGAGGGTGGCGCGGAACATGGCAGGAGTAGGTGATGCGGTGCTGCCAGCCCCGATGGCTCCTGATGAGAGTGGACTGCAGTGGGATGGTGGAGCAGGTGAGCAGGTGGCGCCAGGCCAAGGTGGGTGTGAGCGGGGGCACCGGTTGCCCCACCGGTCACCATGGTGGGGGACGGGGCCAGTGAGCTGGAGGAGCCAGGCCAAGGCGGGTGTGAGCTGGGGCCTCGATTGCCCCGCAGGTCACCCCACAGATGGCGACCAGCAGTGGTGCTGGGGGGTGCGGCCGGCTAGTGGGTGGCACCAGGACAAGGTGGGTGCAAGTGGGGGCCCTGATCGCCCTGCTGGTCACCCCACAGATTGGCCCTGATCACTGGCAAGGCCTAGGGCCCCTACCCGTGCATGAATTTCATGCACTGGCCTCTAGTTTATTATAACTGTACTAGAGGCCCAGTGCACAAAATCATGCACCTTGAAAAGAACTAGGCTGCGAGGCTGCGGTGGGCACAGGGGCGGGTCTCGGTCCATCCTCCGCGCCCCCGCCTAGTCCTTCCCACTGCAGCCCCTGGTCCCCTGTCTGCTCGCAGCCCCGCTCCTGCCACCACCACTCCCATGCCCTGACAGCACCGCCCCTGCTCTCACCCGCTGACAGCGTGGAGCAATTGGGGCCGGTGCCAGCAGTGGGTGCGAGCAGGGCCAGCACCATCAGCAGATGCAAGGGTGGCCCTGCCCCGATCTCCCATCAGGAGCAGGGGCAGTGGAGAAGCTCTCAGGGGTCATCAGGGCCGGCAGCTGCTGCTCGCACCCACTGACAGTACTGAGCAATTGGGGCTGGCACCGGGCGCGAGCGGCGGCTCCGATGCCAACAGTGAGTGCGAGCAGGATCGGCACTGGCAGCAGGTGTGAGCGCTGAGAGGGCCCGCAGCACATGGGAGCAAAGAATTTTCAGTAACCACCAGAGGCTCGCCCCAATGACAGTGACCGGCTCCCCGCCTTGGTCTGGTGCCCCTGCTCACCTGCTCCACCATCCTGCCGCAGCCAACGCCCGCCATGTTTCACACTCTGCCACCTGCTGCTGACGCCCACCACGTTCCACGACCGCCCCCTGGTGATCAGCGCACATCACAGTAACCAGTTGTTCGGTTGTTCAGTTGTGCGGTTGTTTTGTTCAGTCTATTTGCATATTAGGGTTTTATATATATAGATGTTATAATTTAGTGTTATTTCAAAATAACAAGTTTAATTGAACAGAATTGCTGTTAAGTGTTTTAAGCACACTGGTGCTACCAGGGCTCTTAGTATGGCAAAGGAGGCACACAGACACATTTCTATTATACATAAGTTTTGATTTTGTAGTTTCTGATTTGTGTTTTTGTTGTTGTTTAATGAAATACTCTAGGAAGGAAATCATATAATCCATAATTATTTCAAGGTTATTTTTTTTGAATTTGTATTTGTGCTCCAGTCATTTTTCTTGTCTTTTGTAACTTATTTCAATCATTTCTACTTCTTTTTCTTCTTGTAATATGACTTTACTTTAGAGAAGTTTAACCCAGGTTGCACATGGAACAGTAGGCAGGAAGATCTGACATGAGACGTTATCCCCGCTAGCATCAGAATTTTGTGCATTTATAACTTCGTCAAAGGAACATGCATTAAATCTCATTCTGATAACTCTATGAGGTGATTGCTTTTTATGTATTTTCTTTTTCTTTAACAGAAACTACCACATCTAAGAGTGCCAGTGGGCTTACAGATATAACTTGGAGCTCCAGTGGAAGTGATCAGTCAGATGAAGGTAACTACTTTCTAAGTCAGAGAGAGGGAATGGACATGGTTGTAGAGTAGACAGGTTTTGTAATGGGAATGAATATTTTATGTTCTGAACGTGGAGCCAGTGAAGGTAAATTGATAATTTTGTAAGAAATCTAGTTTCTATGAAATATTGGGTTCAATCTTGGAAAAAAGTTACATTCCTTTTCTAATACTTAGCATTGATTATGTGTGATCTCACTGAGTCCCAATGTCTAGGCTAAGCCCTTTAGAAATATTTTTTCATTTACTATTTCTCATAATAGCTCCGAGAGATAGGTATTACCACTAGAATTTTTACAGTTAACAACTTAGGCTTGAACATGTGAGAATTGGTTTGGATTCCACTTTGGCATTCTTTGACGGCAAAGCCAGTACTCTCAACTAACTACTTAATGCTACACCCATATTGCCTCCCTGCTAACCTGTTTTGGATAAATACTATGGCAACTAATGTGTGGTGGAAGTGTGACTACTACTAAATCTGTTCTGATGGCGTTTTACATTATATCCTGCTTTTGACAGTTAAAACGGGGTTTCTCAGTCCTGGCATGTTGCCATTTGGAACGAGGGAGTTATTTGTTTGGGACAGGAGCTTTCCTGTGCGTTGTGGGTATTTAGCAGTATCTCTGGTTTCTGTCCATTAGATGACAGCAGCTTTCCCAGGCCCAGTGGTGACAACCAAGAATGTCTCTAGATGTCAGATGTCCCCTAACGCAGCAGTCGCCAACCTTTCGGACCTCACGGACCACCAGTGGTCCACGAACCACCGGTTGGTGACCGCTGTCTTAAAGTACAGTTCACACCCCAGTTGGGAACCACAGACTTAAAATTATGAAAATCATGGTATTTTTCCATATGTTAAAATATATAGCTCATCTAAGAGTAGATAAAAGTTTTAATGCTTTCAACATAAGCTTTGACTTCTTTTTCACTGTTATTTTGACGGTTCACGTTATTTAGTTACTGAGTCAAGGTTCTGCTTGTATAGACAGCTCCTGTGGAAGCTGACTATGCTCGTTTGGCCACTGTGTATGACATCTTGGTAACTATCATTTGACATTTCAGTAATAGCCAGATGAAGTGGTATTTTAAGGTTATACTTAAACTCAGAATTGCTATTTCAGCCATGTTAAATGAAATTCATTGTCATATAACTCTTGGTTTGTCTTCATGCATCTCAGAACATAATTTCATTATTAAAAACTGTATGTTTTTATGAATGAATAGTGAGGTATGTGAATTACATCTCAGTAAAACTGGTATTTAAAACACTGTATCTTGTCCTGTTGTATGAAAAGATCTTTAATACTCAGTAGTTTCTAAAACTGTTAAAGAATGGGAGGATGCTTTGAGCTAATTGTTTTAAAATGAGTTAGGAAGTTGTTGACTTCTCTTCAATAAGTTGACCATTAGCTAACAAGCAAATGATCCCTTGGAGATTGTCTATTCATGTGTACAACTTCTTGATTAGCTTTTTCTTCTCCCCTCTTTTTCTCTTCTCTCTTCTCCCTTTCTTCCTCTGTCTTTTTTCCCTTTAATTACCATTCATCAAGGTATTTTTTATCTCAGACACTTGGCTGGATATGATGCTATTTTCTTTGATATCTGCTAGATCCTGTGATCTAAGTATCCTGATTTTACAGAAGAAAATTGAACTTAGAGAAGTCAAGTCCCTTGTCCAGAGTCACATAGTTAATAAATGTGCCAATTGATACCCCAAGCCAGGAATATCTAACTTTAATGCTGTGTTCTTCAGTCCTCTTCTGGTGGTTACTAGACCTGGCTTCTTATCAGAATTACTAGGTGAGCTTTAAAAACAATATTTTCAGCTGTATTGGATTAGAGTCTCTGGGCTTTATGGCCCAGAATTGTGATTGAGAGGGCAGAGAAGAACCCTGAGTTAAAATTGTCAAAATATTTTTTTCTTTAAAAAATTTTTCCTCTTGATTTGTCTTTTATGTAACTTTGGGAAAAATGTATTCAATTTATGGAGACTAAGTTTCCTCACCTGTGAAATGCAAATTTTAGCCTAACAGTAACTATCTTGCCTGTTTCATAAAATTATTGTGACCAAGTGAAAAGTCTTGTTAGTGTTGGTCATGATAGATCATTTTACAGCAGTATCAGTGTTCATCTGTGAACTTCCCCAAGTTAGAAACACTGTTCTGTATTCTCTTTTGTGCGTGTGTGTGTATTTTATTGTGAGGGTCTAGAAGGGCATGGTAGGCCCTTTGTAGACCCTGATTTTATTGAATGAAAGAGGACTGAATGAATGAATGCTACAAAAATGTGTTGAACTGGCGGCAGGGGCATTAACTCTGAGGACACTTGTGCCCTTCCCCTTGCTTTCCATGGCTTCCTGGTGTGATGGCTTAGCAACTGGGAGAGTTTCTTATGCATTCCTGTGTCTAGCCTCCATGAGTAAATGTGATGGTAGATACGAGGGAATAATTGCCACCATGCATCTGCTTCTCCAAGACTGGACCTCCAGTTTTTTGAAACTGTTAGAGTTGACTTTTACCTTATCTTCTGAACAACAGTATCAGATTAAAGAAGACTATTTCTTTTTGTTTTGTTTACTTTATCTCATACTTTTAACTATAGCTTAAATATTTTCTTTTTTTGTTTTTATTCTGAATTCCCTTAAGATATTAAAGCTAGTAAGTTTTATATTTTTAATTTTATTTCTATCTGGAAGTGAGAATATTGCTATTAGACCTCTGAAATAGGGCCAAGATATCTTACTAGCCCTCTTAGTAGCTAAAGTAGCTGTGAGGGAGCTCTTGGGTTTACATTATGTACCATACCTCAGAGAATAATTTATCCTTAGTTATTCATCTCTTTAAGCATAGCAAATTAGAGTTGGTACATTTTATTATTAATATATTAACATAATTTAACTTTCAGATTAAGATTTTGCAAAGGTAGTATCTAGATAATAATATTTATGAAATAAACTAAAAACTAAATTTACTTTGTTTCTTTACTGCTGAGAGAAATCTATAAAAAATGTTGGGTGAAAATCTTTGACAAAGTCTTTATTAGTAGAAGACATTATATAAACTATGGGTCATTTATGCAATGGAAAACTATCCTATATAATAAAAGCATAATATGCAAATTGACCGAACAGTGGAACGACTGGTGGAACAACCCATTGCTATGACGCACACTCACCACCAGGGTGCAGATGCTCAATGCAGGAGCTGCCCCTAGCCCGAAGAACCCCAGGCAAGCCAAGGCGGGTGCCAGCGGGGGCCCCCCAATCGCCCCGCTGGTTGCCCCGCAGAGGGAGGCGACCGGCAGCGGCGGCAGCGGTGGGGGGTGGGGTCGGCTAGCAGGCAGCACCAGGCTGGCCAAGGTGGGTGCCAGTGGGGGCCCCCTGATCGCCCCGCCGGTCGCCCCACTGATTGGCCCTGATCACCAGTCAGGCCTAGGGACCCTATCTGTGCACAAATTTCATGCACCCAGCCTCTATTCTATATATGGGTCATTTATGCAATGGTTGTTCCACCAGTCATTCCAAACTAAATGACCCATAGTTTATAAATGACCTATATTATATAGGATAGTATTCCATTGCATAAATGACCCATATACCCTTCGATTGGTACCTATAATGTGCAATGGCCACCAGGGGGCAGATGCCCAATGCACAGGCATAGAAATGCGGAACAGACCGATGAATATCAGAGGGAAGGGGGGATGGAGGAGGGCAGGAAGAGATTAATCAAAGATCTTATTGGCATACTAGAGGCCCAGTGCACACGTGCACTGGTGGGGTCCCCAGCCTGGCCTGCTGGGACCGGGATGAAACTGGCAGTCTGACATCCCCCTAAGGTCCCAGATTGCAAGGGGGTGCAGGCCAGGCCAAAGGACCCTACTGGTGCATGAATCCATTCACTGGGCCTCTAGTATTATAGAAAAGAATTGGGATGGCTCCTTATTTACTGATGTGGAAAAACCTCCACATCATTTAAGTAAAAAACAGATCACAGTATACCGGAAAGGAGAAAATTGACTATATTTTATTTGCTTTAACGTGCTGGAGAAACCATAGAAGGATACAGAAACTACTAATAAAAGTAGATACATGAGAATTGGAGTAGGAATAAGAGTTAGGAGAAACAGGATGGCTAGAGAGAAGAGTAAGAATATACTTTTCACTGTCTTTTAATATATTTTTAAATTATTGAGCAACATGTTTTTTAACTGTTGAGAATAAAAAATAAATTTAAAAAAATAAAATTGAGTTTAAAATTGTATTTAACATATAAAATTGAGTTTAAAATTATTTTCTAGATGAACTGCAGTTTGTTGACTGGGAGAGGGACAGTGACAGGGAAGATAGGGACAGTGACAGGGAAGATACTAACGATGAGAATGAATTTGAAGACAGTGAGAGTGCTGTGGAAATATCAGACTGTGCTTCTTGTGCAAGCAGTCATTCTTTGACAAGTGAAGACAGAGTATCTGAGCTTCCTAAGGTAAGAATGAATTGTTGCAAAAATTTTTATTCTATTTATGGCATTTCCTAATCATATCCTTCCTCAAGGGTAGCAACTTTTAACTCCTCGTGGATTCTTTTGCACTTTACCTCCTTATCTCTAAATAACATGCTTGTAATGTATTTCTAAACATAGATAAATTTTTTTATGACAATGTTACATGCAGTAAACACTAGTTATTCAAGAAAAATGATCTTACATGTAATAATATTACATGTAGTAAACATTAATATTTCAAGAATAAAAGGGTTTTAAGTATAATATTACCAAAACTGTACTAACATAGTATGATATCACAAAATTTGTAGGAAATATTAAATATCTGCAAATAATAGGATTACTTATATCATATTCTAGAATATATCTTTCCCTCTGGCTCTATTTTTTTCATCAGTTTATGTTGTTCATTATATTCCACAAATGAGTGAGATCATGTGATATCTTTCTCTGACTGGCTTACTTTGCTTAGCATGATGCTTTTAAAGTCTATTTTGTCGGATATGAGTATTGCTACTCTAGTTTTTTTTCTTTTCGATTTGCATGATAAATTTTTTTCCATCCCTTCACTTTCATCCTGTATGTGTCTTTTGTTTTGAGGTGGGTCTCTTGTAGACAGCATATAGTTGGGTCATGTTTTTGTATCCATTCAGCTGTCCTACATCTTTTGATTAGAGCATTTATTCCATTTACATTTAGGGTTATTATTGAGAGGTACTTATTTATAGCCATTTTAATTCTGTATAACTAGGTTTCTCTCTCTGTTTGTTCTTACAGCAATCCCTTTAGCATTTCTTGTAATGCTGGCTTGGTGGTGATGAACTCCTTTAGCCTTTTTTTTTGTCTGGGAAGCTCTTTATTTGACTCTTTATTTTGAATTTGCATTTGGAGGTTGTTTCTTTGTTTCCTCATTATGGTTGTCTGTTTGGGTTTGTGACTATATATTAGGTAGATCCTCTACACCTTTCAATCTCTAGTGCAGGACAGTGTTAAAGGCTGTTTCTGACTAATTGGATTAGATCCCAGAGTTCTAAGTGGCTCCCCCACAGCTGAGATACCTCTCCAGGACTTCAGTTGCCATTTGTGGGTGTCCGGCCAGCACTTTCGCACCTCCACCCCTCCTATCAGTCTCTATGCGGTCTCCACCTTCGGTCCTTGGGTATCAGGGTTCTCTCCTGTGAGTTTTACATTGATTATTCAGGAAGCCTTTCTCTATTTCAGTTGTAATTCCAGCTTGTTCCTGGGAGCTAATAAATATTGAGTTCTCTTCTCACCCACTTTTCACCACCAACTACCCACTGAATATTCCCCATCTCTCTATTTTTTAAGAACATATATATCATGTTTTGGTTATATTAATATTAAGCATTACATACGTGTGAATACATAATATTTGTAACAAAGGCAAATATTAATTATGATTACTTTTTCTTCACAACTTTTTATTTTCTTTAGTTAATTATTTGGGGGTTTTGTTTTCCTGGTTTTACTTATCATTCATAAAACTTTAATTTTTTACCATTGTATTTGTTTTAGTGGAGAATTTTTCCCCACAACCTTCTCGCTGCTTTAATGTGAACTCAGCAGCCTCTCCGCTTTGTGACCATTACTACTTAGGTCTCCCTTCATTCTCTTTCTTGGAATTCCCTTTATCTCCTCTTATTTGGAGCAACTTAATCCTGGATTCTGTGTATGCCTCTTTCTTGGTTTTCACTCTCATTTTGATTGAGCATATCTTATAGGACCTTTCAAGAAAAGATTTGTGAAAGATAATTTTTTGAGACTTGGCAGATCAGAAGATGCATTTATCATCTTCGATATGTGATTGAAAATTTGTATACAATTATAGGTTGAAAATAATTTGTCTTCATAATTTTGAAGGCTTCATTGTTTTCTAGTTCCATAGTTAGTGTCAAGAAGCCTGAGTTATTCTCATTCTTTTTTTAAAAAAATATTTTTTATGATTTCAAAGAGGAAGGGAGAGGGAGAGAGTGATAGAAACATCAATGATGAGAGAGAATCATTGGTCAGCTGCTTCCTGCATGGCCCACACTGGTGATTGAGCCTGCAACCTGGGCATGTGACTTGACCAGGAATAGAACCGTGGCCTCCTAGTTCATAGGTCGACGCTCAACCACAGCCACGCTGGCCAGGCTCAGCTACTTTAAAAAAAAATATTTTTCCTGCCCCTTTACCTCTTATATTTTTTGGTGATAAACTCCTTTAGCCTTTTTTTGTTTGGGAAGCTCTTTATTTCACTATCTATTTTGAATGATAGCCTTGCCAGATACAGTAATCTTGGTTTCAGGTCTTTTTCATTACCTTGAATACTTTATGCCATTCCCTTCTGGCCCATAGAGTTTCTGATGAAAAATCAGCTGATCGCCTTATGGGAGCTCCTTTGTAGGTAGCAAATTGCTTTTCTCTTGCTGCCTTTAAGAATCTCTCTTTGTCTTTAATTTTTGGCATTTTAATTATGATGTGTCTAGGTGTGGGTCTGTTTAGGTTCTTCTTGCTTGGGACTTTGTGCCTCCTGAACTTATGTGACTTTTTACTTCACCAGGTTAGAGAACTTTTCTGCCATTATTTCTTCAAACAGGTTCTCTATCCCTTGCTCACTTTCTTCATCTTCTGTTACTCCTATGATGAAAATATTGTATGTTTCCTGTTGTCCCACAGCTCCCTTAAGTTGTCCTCCTGTTTTTTCTTTTTGGTTCTCTGAGTGATTTTTTTTATAGCTGATGCTATCTTGGCAGCTGCCTCTCAGGAGATTCCAACGCATATATCTGCATACCCTCTGCCCAGGATCATGTAGTCACATCAGCACTTACTTCTAATACTTCCTTATATTAATACCTAAAACCATTCTCTTCCATTTATTTGATATTTCAAGTAGGTTGAAAGAAGTAAAATATGTGCAGTTTTTGTAGACTTGCCTCTATTCATTGTTTATTGTTTGCCTTTGAATTTCTCAGGCAGAAGCATGCCCTGAGAACATCTCCTGGTAGTGAAGTGGGCATGTGAGCCAGGAAGGAATAATAGCCAATCAAGGGGTCATTATCAAGCAAGTTACTGTTGTGGGCGCCTGGAGCTTAATACTGCTCTTAGACTCTGTGAGCCTTAGAATTATCCTATCAGAGGGGCCCTGAGGCAAAGAAATGGAGGAGCTGGAAGCTGGATAATAGGGCAAGCAAGCACCACTGAAGACATAGAGGAGGAGACAGAGTAGGGTGTTGACAGAGTCAGCTACAATGTGTAAATGAGCTATGTACATTAAATAACAGTGGAGGGGGGAAGATTTATACTATAATTAGGAGTTTTGTACCTATTAATTGGCTCTCCAGAAACAAAATCTCTTATATAACTTATAAGGCTATTTTTGCCTCACATACTAGTATGCTTGTAGAAATGAAACATACATATGGTGGGTGGATACTTACTGTACAAGACATGTTCTACTTTAATTCATTGGGAAGCACTGATTATAATTCGGGTCTGTCGTGAATCCCTCGTCCAGGGATGTGATTGATTTGCCTATACATGTGATTCCACCAGTTCCCTGGAGCAAAGGCAATTGCATTCAAAGCACCAGCAGCTAATACACGTGCTTCCTTGTTGTGGGTCACTCTCCTGAGTGCTTTGCTACATACATTAGCGTATTTAAACTTCACAAAAACTCTGTGAGAATGGAGCTGTTTTATCATCCCTTCTTTCCAGATAAGGATTCTGAGGCCCAGAAAGATTAAGTAATACCTGTGGTTATAAAGTAGTGAGTGATTGAGCCAGGATTCTAACTCAGACACTCTAGCTTCTGGGCTGTGGTCCTGACCATTTTGTTACAGTGTCATAGTGATAGTAATAACATTAAAACACAGTAACCCTGAGTTCTTACAATGTGTCAGTACTTTGCTAAGTTCTGATCATGTGAGGTAGATGTTATTATTGTTATAACCCTATTTTATAGATGAGGATATGAAGATACAGTTAATAAATGGCAAAATGAGATTCTAATTCATGTCGCAAATTCTCTTAATTACTTACGTTGTATTCCTTGGAATACAGATTAACTACATACTCAACTACTTGGAAGAAAAGCATGATAGAAATTAAAGACCATAGCAATAAATTGTCTTTGTAATGTTGTCTTTTAGGACATTTAACAAGTGTAGTTGATCACTGATGTGACTTTCCATGTTGGTTAGTATTGCTGTTTGGATTTTCATAATTTATTTTACCATTGTCTTCCAAGACATATTTCTGTAGAGGGCAGCAGAGACATAATAGTGAAGTCTCTTTATAGCCTACATTTTTCAGGAAGTGTGAAGGAAATGGGAATTAGGTGAGCTTTGTTATGCAGTTCTCATGTACGTTATGTAGTGATTGCAGTGAAATACAGGTGTGACTGAGAGACAGGTAAGCACCTTCCCATGTCACTGAGACCTTACTAAACATGCCTTCAAACTGCCTTTGTCCAGTTCCTTCCCCCATGGGTCAGTGGGGGACAGATTTGGAGAGTGTTAAATTAACTAGCAAAGCTGTATAAATAGCATGCCTATATTTTCTAGTTTTTCCTTTACTCTTTTTCTGTTAAATAATAACCAGATTATTACAATGGTATTATTACTAGCAGCTGCTGTCAGAAATGAGGGCAGGGTGGAGAACTTTGCCCTTAACTGTTTTAGGGCAGTTAATGTCAGAAATGAGCAGTACACCCAGTTGGTGTTACAATAGCTGGAGTTGAAATAATGTTCTGCTAAACAACTTTTCCCTGACGTATATACATGCATCATTCAATTCTCACTGTAAGGCTATGAGGTAGTACAGTGTTCTCTTTATAGCTATAAGATTTATGTTCTTAAAGAGCCCTCATAGTAGAAGAATTTTTGTTTAAGTAACAAAACCTATGTGAAAAATAATTCTTGCATGACTTTGATTGCAATTTTGGGCTTTTGAGATAGATAGACATATATTTTTTTTGCTTC